TTAACTATCAAGCCGACGCTGCGCGGCCCAGGGAGACTGCAACGCCTGGCGTCGAGATTTTTGTTGCCAAGTTTTGCGAGTGCGCATGCTCAAAATTATGTCGCATAAGTTCTGTCACTAATAGATGCAGGTGTTTGAAGGCAATTAGTTCAGAAGCGTCATCATTTTCATTCGCCCTTTGGCCACGGCTCAATATCAGCTGCTTGGTAATGTGTCCCTTGTGTTCTACTCAAGGGCCCCTTGGCCCAGAAGGAAGCAAAACGTATCATTATTGTTGAGTAGATTGAAGGTCTCATTGTTGTTGAATAGAGTGGGTCAAAATGACTTTTTTCTAAAAAAAAGGTCATCCCACGTTTGCCTGACAACGTTCATATTTCAAAATGTATTAGTGAAAAAATACACCAAAAGGTTTGGAAACATGCATGCCCGCGGCCTCGAGAGCAAGGACAGCGATGGCCTAGGTTCCAGTTTCCGTAAACCAAACGGCGTCGGGCCATTGCAAGTGCCACCAGACGGCGGGCACCGTGGTTGATCTGTCTTCTGGGCAGATTAATAGTTACAGAACACGAAATAGAGATTTTACCTTTTCTCTTCCAGTTCAGTCACCAGGTTACAGCATCCACTTCGCGGTGCTTTATGAGCCAATCCCCGCTTCTATTCTCAGTCTAAAATCGCACATGTGAAATATGCGCCCAGGCTGCCTTGTAGATGTAAGTTTTGATATCCTGAAGCGTCCAAAGGCATTTCTTTCAGAAGCGTCAATCATTTCGTCCACCCGTTGGCCAAGGCTCAATATTAGCTGTTGGCGTACGCTGCGTGGCCTTCAAAGACTGCAACGCCTGGCGTCGAGGTTTTTGTAACCAAGATTTTCAGGTGCGCATCTCGCAGTGTGACCACTTGTTATGCTACATATATACCACATAACTTGCATTACTAATCGATGTAAGTGTTTAAATGTAGCTATTTCAGAAGCGTCGTCACTTCCCTCCACCGGTGAGCCACGGTGAAAAGTTAACCACTGGGTTAACCACTAACTAAGTTAAAAGTTACACAAACACAAAAGTTAACCACTAACCAACAGCTCTGCGAATTATGGAGAATGCAACACCTGGTGTCGCGGTTTTTGTTAAGATTTGCGAGGCGCACGTGGTCAAAAGCCGCGTTACATAAGTTGTACCACTAATCAATTCTGACTGAATGTTAGACATTTCCAGACAAACATTGTTTGGCGATGTTTAATACACATTGCTGTCCACTCGATCTACAACGAAATTTTATCTTCAAATTTCAGTCAGACATATCGATCTACAATCTACCTTCGTCATGTCTTCAATGTCTGTAGAACGCAGCTAAGCATTCTGAGAAAGCTTCTGAATAATTATCTCGGTTAAGAAAGAGTCCAGTAAGCCATTGCAAATTAAGGGCACCGGTGATTTACTTTCATGCGGTCGTTCAACACTTGATTTCAGCAGTTTATTGACTTAAAAAATACAACAGAATTGATCTGATGATAGCTTCTAGTTTCTGTTCTGGTTACAACGTAAAAATAACAATGAAGCGAAAAAACGTATCCCTTGTTAACAAGTCAACTATATCTGGGATTGTTTGGGGGGGGGGAGCCACCATAAGAAGGGCTTTTGACAACCCTCGTGTGTTCCTCTCAGGAAGGCTTTAGCTACGCCCCTGCTTACGCACAAAGGCAGATCAAGTTGTCTACGTTGAATGCCGGGCAACTAAATGCTTGTCGGCCAATTCATGCCTAAGGCAGGCAGCTTCTCGGAGGCTTTTTCCGCTGTGGTGTGGTGTAAGGGAAGATAATTCGGGAAAAAGGTACTGTTGCATGTGTCCAACATATGTTTTACACCCATTTAGTGCCAAGGCTGATCCAGAAATATGCAATAAAGCAGCAATACGATCAGCTCGCAGTTAGTCATGCGGGGGACAGCCGAGCCAGGGCAGTGGCCGCCCACGACGGACAGAGCAGGGCCTGGATAAGTAACTATATGACAGAAGGGCCTTCATCCCTGGCTTGGTTTTTTTAAGGAGAGTTTCCAGTTTTCATGGCTTTTGTCTCATCGTTTTCGGTAGTTTTAAGCTTCTGAATTTGCTTCCGCCTAAAATGATGCGACAAGTATCTATTCCCTTGAAATCAGCCAGCGAAATGGAGGCGCATAAAAATATGTTGCACTGTGAGCCATGCATTCACTTTCGAAATTATCACCAGTCCCATGTGATGGTGATATCATATTTCACCACCATCCTATCAAAATTATCACCATCCTATCCTATATCTTCGCATCTACCCTGTGGGGACACATGCCTTCTCAATGATCCAAAATGCCTACCCGTTCGTGGAATTTCGCTCCCCAGGAAAGGCAGTGTCGAAATGGATAAATGATCCTGGGAAGCTGGATAGCCTTATTGCCGAATGACAAATGGGTCGAATAGGACAGATTGTACACTAGTGGGAACAGGTCTAGATACATATCTAGCACAGTATCCATGACATCTGAATAAAGAGCAAGTACGCCCTGAGTTTGCCTCCCCTCCCCCACCAACTTCTTGAAACGCTCCTACTCTTATGCTGTGGTAGGCACTGTACGAGTGTGGTACCCAGCCTGAATGTCACTGTGAGAGTGCACGAATCCAAGAGTTGGAAAAAATAGTCCGTGAAGCTTCAAAGTACTCCATGTACCATACTGGCACTTGTACCAAAGCACGCCAAAAGCAAGTGAGATGGATTGATCTACCATAATTTCGATCTCGGATGCTTTGACACAGTTTTTCAGGTTTTTGATTTTTAACTTTATTGGTTCTATACAAAATAATGCCAAAATTGCTATGAAGGGTTTGAAGATTTGCCTTGACGTAGCTGCGACGGTGCCCTGACCTTGGATGACAATTGCCTCGCCACTAACACCAGGCGCAGCCACAGCCTTGGCAGGGGGCACAGGGTTGACAAAAGGCCCCCGACGGTGAGGTCCCCCAATCGTCAGACATGACAAATTTATTAATGAGGGCATGTTTCATTCGATTCTGTTCATTTTTATCTTCCTATAACTGGGCTGGAAGCCAGAAAGCTACTGCGAGATCAACACTGCCTGATGTTTAAACAATGAAATGAAAAGATCATGCGTTAAGCGACTGCATGAAATGGCACAGGCGTACGAGAAGTCCCGCACGTTAGGGACTTTCGGGTGCTTTGACTGAGCGGGCGCATAGTAGTCCGCACACACCTTTAGACGTAATCGATTGTTATTTATTTGTGACGTACGCGATTCCACAGGTAAAACCTAATTACGGAAGCAGTCGAGTTTTAAAAACAATAAACATACGATACATACACAAACAAAAATCTAACCAAACGCACACACACACACGCACCTGCACATTACACACAGCTGCACATCAAGTCATTGAGAGAATGTTCCATGTGTGCCGGCGAACCTAAATAAATCAGATCTGAATGATTTTGTTGGATGAAGTCAGTTGAGGGACAATGCTGCAAAAAATAATCGCATGCAAGCAGTTTTCTTCGTCGACACCGCTAGGTGTCGGCGATAACGCTCACTCTTCGCACAATCAAACGCTTTAAAGCTTCACGAAGAAATCGGTAACAGGCACACGTAATACTTAACAGATAAACAAGCGTATGCGGGGCGACAGGTGCTCGGTCTCGCGGTAGAGTCGACCCGGCTCCGTGAGCAGCTGCAGGGCGCACCGCCGAGCCGTTCCTGCCGTGCACGAGATGTGCGGCCTCAGCGTCTCGCCAGAGCCTCGGAACGTCCTGCATGCCACTCACGAGGCGGCTTGGGCTCTGCCGGCACCGTGTTTCGCGAACGCGTCCAGACGAAAAGGGCAAATACCGATCCCCCCCCCCCCCACTGAGAACGACGATTACGCCAGTCGTCCGAGCGTGTCGAACGTGCAGCATTTCGCCCGCCGCGGCGTGAGCGTTTCTATGGACGGTATGATGCGAGTGCACTGCGCTTACGTACGTGTGCGTGGCTTTAAACGTGCATCGCGGGGCCCGGCGGATAGTTGGTTTAGAGTCTTGTCGCCAGGCAGCGGGCACCCTGCTGCCGGAAACGCCGGCGTTGGTGCCGAGGCTGGCCGCCAGGCGGCGGAAATTGCCTGACAGGTGTCTCGGGTACTGCAACCAGTCATTACGTACGGAGGGAGGTGGGCAACCCGCCCAGGGCGAGCAGTGTCGGTCGGCCCCCCGGTGCACTCCGTGCCGTGGTCCCTCCGGGATAGATTGGGGGCCACGACCCTATCTGTGCTGCCTGCCGGCCTTTCTGACCGAGTGGTGTTATCGACCGTTTCAGTCAAGGATGCACGAGCCCCACGTCAATACAGTACACGAACGACACGCCCTTATACGGTAGGTAGGAATACCCAATGTAGTGCAGAGTCCGCTCACCTACGTCCAGCCTCTGTGGCCACCCATGAACCACCATCCACTCCATATAGTGGCACCAGCGCCTGACAAGCGATACTTCAGACCTTCAGAACCTCGACCCATGAGTCAATAACTCGACGCGCAATACAACCAGGCTCGCGTTTTACCGTCGCCAAGGGGCCGTGACTTCGCGCGGCGCCGAGAGTTTGAACCTGAGAGACGCAAGACATCAATCCGTCAAGGCGGTTGCCATCAATATGAAGGGAAACCCGTGCCAAGTTGGCATTCGGCACATGCGGCGAGCATCAATTGCAATGAAAATAGTCAAGCGGCGCCATAGGCAATCCAGGCGTCGGCCACGCAGCAGACACACGACTGCCACTTCCCTCGCTCAGCCTTCTCCGATGAATGATTGTTCACCAATGCAGTGACCGCGTTCCACACTAATCGGCATTTCCACGCTGGGACGAGCATTCTCTCGCCCGTTATCCTTACCTGAATAATTTTTCGTCGAGCCATTGGCGGCGCACCGGCGGTTCGCCGTTGGAAAATGAACGCACAGAATCTCAGTACTATTTTGATAATAAAACACCTTAGCAACTTGCATGGCACGTTTATTGCACAGTATCAGACATCGCACTAGCTCCTTAACGTTGTGTTCCGCGGGTCACAATCCCCCCCCCCCCCAACGCACCCAGCCGGTGCCAGCGTAAGACACGTATCACGATATGCAGCATTCCCCGATGGTTCACTCTGCTGGTGTTGTAACGCCGAGTGCAGATCAAGCGTTGGTGCAGGCACGGCCAACTCGGGCGATGCACTCCAAGCGACGAAACGGATCTCACGCCTGCAAACGAAAATTGTTGCCTGTTGGTTATTTTTAAAACGATGCCCGCGACTTCTGAGCCCCAGAAACACAATTCTGCCCGCGCACGCGCGTGATTGTCGCTAGCGTCGGAGAACCAGCACCTCCCGAACATGTGTCGACCGCTTCACGCCAAACAGCGTACAGCTCCGCGCCGCCCCGAAACGCCACCAGCTCGTTCGAATATGTGCATCCCTTATACTTGATGAATTGTCACAGCGCGACAGTCACCATACAGGAAGGAGATAGATATTCTATCGCAGCGATGTGGAGGATGGTTGAGCACAAGGCCACTCAACATCCAACGAGCACTGCATGGACCGACTAGTACGTTCATGATTATTTTCATCTACATGACATTGTAATGCTACCTGTAATCCCCTGAATTGCCATCCAATGTTTGCAGCTTCAGCCACTTCGATAGTTCCTCTTAGGACCACGGGTTGGCAACACGGAGAACACCCGCGCCCTCAGCAGGGCGGAGCTCAGCAAAGGAAAATAGTCGCGGTGTGCATGACCGAACTGGAAACCGCAGAGTAAGCCACACAGCCGCTGCTTGGCGGAACACAGAACACCCAGCCGCATTCAACAATGAACTTTTCACATCCTCGAAAGTTGAATAAATGGGATAAGTCACACATTAGTGACTGGAAACACCCATCCACCCATCGCGTCCAATGACGTAGGTCGGCGGTTCAGCCCTACTCACCGTTGACTTGAACAGGCCGTGAATGCCAGCAATTGAACGCTCTTCCGGGCTGATTCGTGACCACCGGTCCGGGTGACTTAGTACCCCGCTGAGATACAAAGCGAACACCATTAGTCATTGATACACAGCACAACAAGCGTGCAAAGGCGTCGTTTATGTCAGACACATGAATGACGTCAAATGTCGATCAGACGGCAATTCCTATCAGTGGAGGATCATCATTTTACTTAAGGTCGCCTGCATGTACAGTATAGTAAAGTGAAGTGAAGCGCATGGTGGATATATGACCTCAGATGCGCCTCTAAAAGACGTCACAGTCACTTTGCACGAAACGCACCTCCGGTGAACACTATCCTCATCCGGGGTAGGGCCAGGCGTCTAGCATCTTCAGTCAGCCAGACCCCGCGCAGGGAGCAGCCTTTCCCTGAAAAGAAAGGACGAGTTCTACTGAATGTTCTGTTCATCGTGCGACACATGAAACCGATTTGGCACTCCCGAGTCGCAATCTACGCGGGCAGTAGCCGTACGGGGACGCCGAAACACAGCTGGAATCACCGTCAGCCAAGGAAATCGCGGCGCAACCGCGGCGTGCCACTCCCTCTCACCCACCCGCCTCCAGAAGACAAAACAAAACAAAACAAAACAAAAACGAGCAAAAAGCTCGTCAGTTAAAAAACCAGCGTAGCCAGGCGTACAAAATAACAGGCGTGCAGTGACTGTCGCTAGCGTCGGAGAACCGGCACCTCCCGAACATGTGTCGACCGCTTCACGCCAAACAGCGTACAGCTCCGCGCCGCCCCGAAACGCCACCAGCTCGTTCGGATCTGTGCATCCCTTATACTTGATGAATTGTCACAGCGCGACAGTCACCATACAGGAAGGAGATAGATGTTCTATCGCAGCGATATGGAGGATGGTTGAGCACAAGGCCACTCAACATCCAACGAGCACTGCATGGACCAACTAGTACTTTCATGATTATTTTCATCTACATGACATTGTAACGCTACCTGTAATCCCCTGAATTGCCATCCAATATTCGCAGCTTCGGCCACTTCAATAGTTCCTCTTAGAACCACGGGTTGGCAACACGGAGAACACCCGCGCCCTCAGCAGGGCGGAGCTCAGCGAAGGAAAATAGTCGCGGTGTGCATGACCGAACTGGAAACCGCAGAGTAATCCACAGAGCCGCTGCTTGGTGGAACGCAGAACACCCAGCCACATTCCAAAATGAACTTTTTACATCCTCGAATGAACACATGAAACCGATATGGCACTTCCGGTCGCAATCTCGCGGGCAGCAGCCGTGCGGGAACGCCGAAACACAGATGGAAGCATTTTCAGTCAAGGAAATCGCGGCACACCCGCGGCGTGCCACTCCCACCCACCCGCCTCCAGAAGAAAACGAGCAAAAAGCTCCATACAGTCAGTTAAAAAAAAAACAGCGTGGCCAGGCGTACAAAATAAGAACATATACCATTGGTACTAGGAACTATAATTACCAAGATTTCAATGAAGCCAAGAAGTCAACACTTCCACTACCAAATGTAGCCATCCTTGCTCCAACGAACTCCGACATACAACCGAATATGCACGGGCATCGATCACGAACCCAATCGGCAGTGCCTACGATTAGGAACGCCACGCTAACACGGCGTTCTCCGCACCCGTGCTCCAGTTAAGTCTCATGAATCCAATAGGTAGTTTGCCAACGATCAATGGCGCCATGCTAACACGGCGTGATTATCCAGGGGATGACAAAATCAGAAATGACGCTAGGACATGGAGACAAAGTCTGATGGCGCCACCCGAATGTCCAAGCCGCCTTGACTCAACCCTAACAACGCCGCTCGCGGTCGCCCGGATGAGGCACGTCCTTTATCAGCCAGCTGGCCAATGATCAATGGCTCCGCTGATCGATCGGTGACGTCAGGCGTGTGCCTGCCCGTCCGGGGCCTCACCTCCGGCCGGCGCCGTCTCCGTCGCGGCGCGTCCGGTCCCCGCCCGCAGCGCGACAGCTATCACCGCAGGCCTCCTGCGAGCGCAGGACGCCACGTCAGCCGATATTTGGAGCACGGCGGAGCCGAGGCGTGGGGCGTGCAGTCAGACACAGAGGCGACGTCAGTTGTCGATCAGACGGCAATTCCTATCAGTGGAGGATCATCATTCCGCTACGGGCAAATTATGTGAAATCGAGCCAGCAACTAGCCACACAAAGCTGCAGCATGCGTGCCCCATTCCAACAACTCATGCCGCGAGCCCGGGCGGAACGCGAGGGATCTGCCTGTGGCATTAATCGCGTGCTTACCCGGTCGGCGCCTCAGGTGCTGGCGGGCCGTCGCTGGGGATGAGCGAGCGCGCCATCCTTATAGTCGCGCTTCTCTCACCCCGTCGCCGCGCGCCAGCCGCGTGCCCGGCGTCGTCGGTCTCCTGCGAGCACGCGACGCGGTTTACCGGTGCTCGGGACACGGCGGGGCTGGGAAGCGGCGCATACACTCAGACACAGAGGCGACGTCAGTTGTCGATCAGACGGCAATTCCTATCAGTGGAGGATCATCATTCAAGCGCTGCGTGCATGCACACCTCGCGCCAGACCGGACGCTACACCCACACCAGCTGACAGTGCTTACCCGGTCGGCGCCTCAGGTGCTGATGGGCCGTCGCTGGGGATGAGCGAGCGCGCCATCCTTATAGTCGCGCTCCTCGCACCCCGTCGCCGCGCGCCAGCCGCGTGCCCAGCGTCGTCGGTCTCCTGCGAGCACGCGACGCGGTTACCGGTGCTCGGGACGCGGCGGAGCTGGGACGCGGCGCATACACTCAGACACAGAGGCGACGTCAGTTGTCGATCAGACGGCAATTCCTATCAGTGGAGGATCATCATTCAAGCGCTGCGTGCATGCACGCCTCGCGCCAGACCGGACGCTACACCCACACCAGCTGACAGGGGACGTCCCGACGCTGGAGTGGGCACACGTGCGCGTCACCGGCCGTGAGGCGAACCGCGCCAAACCCCCGTCCGAGCCTCACCTGGGTCACAGGACATTGTCAGCCAGCGGGGAGAATCCAACGAAGGTCTGCCTCCGTGCCATTCGGCACGATGACGTCACACGCGCCTGAAAAACACAGCACGTCAGCATTCACGAGCACTATTCAGGGCCTCAGCAGAGGTGGTGCATCGCCCGTAGACACAATTAGGGATAAGAATAGTTTCCCAATAGCCATGCCCAGCACGGGCGCAGATTTGAGCAGAAGTGTCATCACATGCAAGTCGCAATATCCATTACATTATCAGGCGTTACATAGCTCCCCACCAAGAGTTAATTCGTTCCGCGTCACAAATGCCTCTTATTACTCCAGCACAACGAACTTTTTCGTAAAAGACCATTTCGTAAAAGCTGAGCAGATGGAAACAAACCAAATGATAAGGCACCTCCCCACATTCCCTCAAATGCGTTATCCGTCCTCCATGATCTACACACGTCAATCTACCTACGCAATAATTGACCAACGTCGAAGAGTTTAACAGGGTTCATTTGCACGCACCGTGTGGCGGGTGTTCGAATCTCTGGAACTTATCAAAGTCAGAAATATTGGAAAACTTGCTCTAGAAAATTCAGAATGGACAAAACGGATGTACTCGAGCAAAAGCAGGGGCTGCTCGCCAAACACTCAAGTCCTGACACAGTGTTTTGGTTTTTAGTTTAGTTTGGTTTTTCAGTTCCTTTTTATTTTTTTCGCAGCCGTCACCGCGCGATTAATTTCGCAAGTTTGGAATACCACATCCCTCAACATATTTCATGATTCTATGAACGAATCCCGCACCAGCAGCCGAAATGCTGCAGGACGTCGTTTCCAGACAACTGCTTAAATAACCACGCAGTGACGGCGTGTTTTTGACATAACGGCGCGCCCTCCCTCGCATTTACTTCGCAGCGGGGCCGAACCAAGCGGACGGCGGGGTACGTCTTCATGCAGCGAGCTGAACCCGGTACCCCACCTGCAGCTGTTTCGAAGTTCGGGGCACGCCTGTATCGGAGGCACGTCAGTAATCTGGTACCGTCTCAGGGCCAGCCTTTATCGGAGGCGCCTCAGTAATCTGGTATCGTCTCAGGACCCCCGACTCGGAGCCTGCCACGCTCGGGTCTCTGCTCGCCCCGGACTGATCCGTTCGACAAGCTGTACGCGCCACAGTCGACCCCTGCTGAGCGGCTCAGGCAGGTCGGTAACGAGCAATTTAATGCAATGGACCGACGACCAGTTTCCAGCCAGTGCATCCCGGATCCTCTCAGATGACCTGTCTGTTGATGTTGATGTTGATGAGTCTGTGCCTGCTTGATGCTTGTCGGTGGCCGTGCGCATGCCTCTCCGTAAATATTGTGCATAATGCCACGACGCGTTTGTAGTCTGCTGTCGTTACGTAGCCGAAGGCTTCGAGCAATAATGTTCTCTTTAATTCATCCTAGGTCCACCCAACCATTCCAGCAGCGTAAGCCCGCAGCCCAGGGTGCTAATCGTAGGTTAGACAACTAAAACCATAGCCAAAGACCCAAGTCACGTCCAATCTCGCGCACCATATATCACCGCTTCCATATTGCAAGCCATGTAATGACCCGGAACGCCCCAATGACGGGACAAGCAACTCTGTCCAGTTCCTTTCCCGGCAATGCGCACAAACTTTTTTCTCGAAAAACGGGACTGGTAGCCTCTGCCGCCACACCTCACCCAGCTTATGGTTTCAAGCATCTGTCGCTCTTATGGTTGGGCTAGACTGACTAATTGAACTATACGCCTAGTCTAATGCCTTAGTATCTAAAATATATGACAGGTATGTAACAACACTAAAGCGGGGGCGATACGATAGTCCGAATATTCATTCCATTCGTACTATTATGTCGTCTGGATCGCTCGCAAACCTCATTGTCCGCACCGGGATGACATGTTACGCTCATAAACCCTCGCCCTGATACGAAGGGGGGCCAACAAGACTACTAAAGCTTTCACGCGCAAACAAATTGTCAGCTCCGGGATGACACGTTAAGCTCATTAACCCTCGTCCTGATGCGAGGGGGTCAGTGTAATCTACTAAGGCTTTGGTGGTACCTTCCTGGCATGCTGCGCAGCCGAGTGCCTCTCCTGAGTATTCTGGAGCATCAATCGTATGTGTTTCGAAACCAAAACCTAGGCATTTTCGGTTTCTCAGCAGCGACGATCTTTTGGAGCGCCGCACGGCCGCCTCACGGCCGGCGCGGGCAGCAGACCAATTCGCCGACCGTGCGAGACGGGCAGACACTTCTATCAATAGCCCCACATCATACACATGTGCTCAGCGTATTTACAACTAGGGAAGACCTCAAATTGAACCAGGAACACACCTGCTTCTGTTCATCTTTACGTGGCATGGTCTTGCATATGGTCTCAACTCCATTGGTCAGGACTTTAAAAAAAAAATGTGACCCTGACCTGGCATAATAGGGTCAATTGTTGACCAAGCACATCAGGCTTACCAATTGCGATACGACTTTGAGGGTTATCAGCTGATTTTCCGCCAGACCTTTTTTAAAATTTTGCAAACGGCATCAGCCAGGGGTGGTATCCAAAACAACGGTGGCATTGGGCCGGAGCGCTTTCTTTCATTTGTTCGGGTATATTTATATATCTATCATTTGTGTGGCAAAGGTTGTTCCGAGGAGGAAAGGGTGAATGCACTGTCGGCCCCGCCGTCCCCGGTCGATGGGCCTGATCGGGACGGTTCGCGGTTTGTCGCGACGGCTGGCTCGGCCAAGGTGGACAGGTCATGCCCTGCGGCGCCAGGCGAAGGTGACATCAAGTTGGGCGCAGACCGGGCGGGGGCGACCGAGATCAGACTCGTGTCCGTTTACATGCGCACCGTTTAACGGCAGTCAAATTTCTGCTACATGCAACGCCCGTGCAATTGCAAACGGACTAGGGTAGCGCCGGAGTGGAGAGAACAGAGAATTCTATAGGCGCGGTGTTATACAAATGTAGCACCGCGCGAATATGTCGTGTCTTGCACAGGCAGTTACTACATCTAGATAGGGACGTATAGCGAACGGCTCATGGTGCACTTAACATGGACATCCGCAATGAAATAGAGCAGTGCGCCTCCAGCAAAAATTAACACCACCTTGAAATTGACTGACGGAACGTAATGAGGTTACGCAGGTCCGGGTGATCTCCGTCCGGATTGTCCAGCTAATTTCTTCGATTCACCAGGAACGCTCATATGCATGTAAGACGGTCACTGACTTGGAGCTCTTCCATCAATTCCCCGCACTCCGGAATCTTTTTTCAAGAAACATCGCGTACCATGCTTAATTTTACCGCTCTCCACTGTGGCTTTACCGGCGACCAAGTTTCCCCCTCGTCGATGTCCATGTTTTGCTTGTATCAACCCACGACGAAATTCATCCTCACCGATATTCACCTTTCCTCTAGTCACTTGCGACTAAGACATCTGACATACTTAGCGCCATCAGCAAGTTGTGCGAGAGAAAAGTCTCGTTTTCATGACAATACATCATTCCGGGCACCTGAACCCAGCGGAAAGCCCGCGACTTTTGACTCAACGCAGGCCCATACCCGCGAACAACACCGCCAAAGTCTGGTTCGTCATTTGTATGGCCACTCACTCCACTGTGCCGTAGAACCCGAATATGCACCTAGAACCAAACCTTGACTTACGTTCCACGCCATGTTTGAAGTACGATTGTGGTGTTCACAACTTTGACCAGCTTACTTTGCTTCAAATACAATAAAAATCAATCGCCTAGGTCTTGGGTCAAGGAAATACAGTTTCAAGTTTCAGCTACCGTGATCACCATCCTGTGAATTCAATACAGAACATTCCGCGAATCACTTCAATGTGACGCTCGCCTTCGAAGCCATTACAAAAGGTTAAATAATTACGCTTCCTGTTTGAATGGTGCAATCATTTCTAATCCGTGCAATTCCTAGAAATTAGTTCCGGCAGTTAAGGGATGGTGGAAAGCAGAAGGGGTCATCCGGAAAGGCCGAGGACAACTTTTCATCGCAGCCGGAAGACCATCTAAAATCACGATCGTTCTTCAAAGCCCGCAATAGTGTCCCAGAATTGCCCACTTTGTGTGTAAAGCAATACCGTATGAGGAGGAATTTCTCACCCTTTTCCCCATTTTTATCATTTTTTTTTTTACTCCTGCCTGACATTGTCTAATCGCACATGCCAAACCCCAAGCAGAGCCAGGTGCAAACACCAGCAGGGCCTGGTCGAGAATTTTAATACCCGCATTTTTCCCCAGGAAACTTGATCACTAAATTGCATCACTCCGGAAAATCAGGAGTAAAAAATTCAAGAAGTCTTCTAAATAAAATTTACAAGATGAATGTGATCAATTGAGCACTTCTGTTACCAGATTTAAGTCAACTCAGCAGATAACAAAACTTTTTCCAAAGAAATCTACTTTTATTTTTCCTGGTACCATACGAGTGTGATCCACTTTACTCTTCCTTCCTTTTCGATTGCCTTTAGAGGTACCATTTGTTGCCTAAAATGTTGACCAATTTCTCCGCAAGATGCCAACTCCAAACTTAATCGTTTTTCATACATACACTGGGTTAGTTTGCCAGCCGCCCAAACATGTTTGATATGCACCCAAAAGTGAACAATTCACAGGGAATGAAGGGGACAATTTGAAGCACGGAGTTTATTTTTACCGCCATTTTTACTCTGTTAAACCTTCGGTTAACCGATTTCTTGGTTTATGGCGGTGCTCAATTACGATAAACCTAAATCTTTCGTGCGTCCAACTCACCAGGCTACCTGACAAACCTATCCTGACGCTGCCTTACAGAGCTTTTGGGACAGACCTGACGCAGCTAATACAGAAGTGCTTGGTGGCGAAATTCTGTCCTCTGGAGATGTTTACCATGCACACCTCTTGTTTCGCATTTTAATCTCGTAGGTTGGTTGTCTTGAGGGTGGAGTCCTGTCATAAGACCATTATGCCACAAGGCAAGCTTATTATGCCACATTATTTTACCAATCATGCCACATGCCACATGTCATAAGACCAATTATGCCACACGGGCTTATTTGTTCCATATTCTTGAATATTTGCCCCAAATCCTTCAAGCGGCCCCTCACGGCTGCTTTAACCAGATTCTTGCAACAAAGTCAGCCCATCCCAATTGAAATGTGAAGCGAGCATCTCAAAACTTTGTCATTAAATATAAATGAACAAGCCTACATAAAAGCTTTTACTGCAGCTGAAAAGGCAAGCAGCAATACTGGCATGGTCATCTGAAAGTTATGTTACTTTTAGAGAAGATTGTTTTGTGGGACCATATCCGTTATTGCCCTTGACATGGGTTAGCCATGGCAAAAATAAGTTGTTCAAAGAGATTTGAAGTGTTTTGATTTGCGTGTTGTCGACTTTGTTTGATGTCAACAAGCATACACAACTGAACTGAAAAAATGCAAGCTAAAACCAGCCAAAAATTAGTTTTATCATGCTTTTATCACAACTGCTGCTGTCAACAGAAAGGTGAGTTGAGATGTTAACGTATGGGCTATTCTGAGTCAGGTTAAGTTGGTTAAGTGCGTGGCAAGTAGCAAAAAGAATTGCGCAAGAACCAGTAGCTCACAACTGCTGTTGTGATACGAACAGGCTATGCAGGATGCGATGAAGTGAGGCCCCTTTAGGTTGGGCATAGTTAGGGTACTTTCATGGAAATAAGCATTGGTATTTAGTAGGAAACAGTGACAAAATGTTTGTTTTCCCCGACCCCATCTTAAAGAAGCCAGAGGTATGTCTAAGTTTTTTTTTTGTTCGAGTGTTTCATGCTTGTTGAATTTTCCGTTGTTATTTTGTTACCGAATTCCTTTGCTTTGTTTTGTCTTAAAAGTGCTGTGGAAGGGAAGCGCAAATTGCAGCATCACATTATTGGTGTTAATAATTTGTTATGCTCATTACAGTCATCAAATTACTAGGCTGAAATGTATTCTGTCCCACTTCAATGGACTTTATGTTAAAACCCAAAACGTTTTGTCAGGTTTGATATTCCGACCATGCCAACTTGAAATAGATGTCTTTGCTTGCTGAAGCATCAGGCACGAGCCCAATGTTCCATCTCTTGTGAATTGATTTTTTCACTCCCGCACCTTTTTGCGATCGAATTTTTCACTCCCACCCTAGTTCAAAACGATCCTAGCTCGCTGGCAACATATGAGAACTGCTAGATGCTTTCCCAGCCATATTTCTTTGCCTTCCGGACCTTGTTAGCGACCTGTTTAGCGTCAACCGTGGTGAAATGGAGTTGATGGAACACCATTTCTCCGCTCCAAGGTGCAAGCGTCTTGACGCGAAGCTGCTAATTAACTAAATACCCTTGTTACAGCGCGACCATTTGCGTCCCAGCGGGCAATAACTGAATGCCGCAGATTGTCGGTAGATTGTAACCTTTATCATATTCACTGCAAAGTAATTTCTGGGTAATTAGCCTTTTCGAGCGGCTGACCAACCTGACGACGCGAGGTCCGGTACCATCCGCGACGCTATAATACGAAACAGCACAAAGGATACCACGAAATCACTCATAAACCGCGAAGTTACCGCAGACAGCCTTCATTGCAGAATGCATGGCGCTACTTCGATGAGGCGTAACCCTTTGGGTACCTGTTTCGCAATGTATTTCAGTGGCGACAAGCGTTGCCTCCCGCCTTCGGGTCTTTAAGATAACTGTGCACGTCACGGTCGTAACCCGGCACGGCCGCGTCGCATTACCTGCCCTGGTGGGGGGTGGCCGCCGCTCCATCGCCGCACCGAAGTTTCTTTCGCAGAAAATCGCACGGCGGCCGCGGAGTTGAGCTAGACAATTTATCGCGATTGTTGGACGCTACCGGACAACTGCGCGATCCATACGTACATACATATTTTTGATAAACAATTTATAAAACTTAAAGCGCACAAACCTCATGGTGCGTTGCCGAATTGTTCACGTGGGTTTTTGGGCACCTCAGTTACGCTGTTTTTAAAAGGCGTGAGCATGCAAATACAGTTGATTACATGTGCTTTCTCTTGCCGACAGTTGTTGCTTGAAGTAATAATCATTTTACGTGAGCTCGCCCCGCTGGGGAAAACGGACTCAGATGGCGGTACCTTATGCGCATCATGAAAACAGAAGTTGCAAGCGAACCTACCCCTTTAGAGACCAAATTAACTGAGAGAAGCCAGCTAAAACATCATGCATTCACTCCTCTCCACATCACAATTCCTTGTAACATCAAGTTTTTTGAAGGATATTCGACATGCTTAGATCTAAACCCATGTCAAATGAATTCCTTAACCAATTTCCGTTCGCTTGCCAGTCACAAGTATGACCGTTAGAAGATATTTGGAGTCTGGATGTGACGCTATAATGCACAGTTCACACCCCGCCACACACCCACCGGCGACAAAAACTAAACGTGAGAATCTATCGAGACAATGTGTTTCAAATCCAAATTCCGACTTTTACAAACTTGTTCTAGTCACGAAGTAAAACAAAATGAGCGCCGTCAGAGGAGTCCCAATTTCGCACCGGCCGTCACTGGTGATCTTGCTGTTTTCTCAATGGAATGTCTCCGTCGTTAATCAGGTAAGAACGACACATGACAGCATGCGCTTTAGCTGGGCAATGGTCATGCAACTGAGCTCCATCGTCACCGCGCCATTGTCACCACGCACCATTGACGAAACCCGCCCCGCTTACGTACTTGTCGATCCATGAGATTGGTCAGTCCCGAAAAAATCGTGCCAATGCGTGAAGCAGAAAACCTTAAATCAACCAGGTGGTATCTACGCGCAGTTGCCAGAAAGCGACACGCGATAGAAATAAAAGAAACGCATCCTCCCTCAAAGCGAATGTTTCACCTTTGAAGATAATGGAGCACGCACTCACATATGATGGCAGGCCCACTAAAAACTATCGGTATACTTCCCAAGTGGAGAAGACTGCTCTCCACAACATATCAATGCGTCACCGCACCTCGCACATTGACTTGAGAGCCAATTGACGACAGTTATACGGCGCCCACGAACGTTAGATACGAGGGCCTCCGCAATCATGTTTCTTGGCATTTATCACCGCATGGCTTATGGAATAGTAGGATTTTAATGGCATTATGACGTCACGAACGCCAAGGCGAGTTCGAAATACCCTCAACAACATGCCCTCCCCATTTCCGCGGGCCTGTATAGCTCAGAACCTAGATGGGTTTAGGTCTTATTTATTTGTTGAGTGGTTTTTAGGGCGCGCTGACTACTGAGGCCATGTTGCGCCCATAACAGTCAAGTGACTACCTTGATGTGCCAATGGCCAAAAATCCCAGATCTGTCAAAAATGAAAACAGCTGAGTCGTCACCAATGATGTCCCGATAGGAAAGTAATGGAGCAACTCATCCCAAGTAGCGTAACCGCTTTCGGTTGGTCATCTGGGCTTGAGAGCGCGGCGACTGCCTGGTCATGCAGCACCCAGAACAAAATGTTGATCAGAGCTTTTCAACAGCGTAAGAACCTCCCATGTACAGTACAAACTCCTTGGGCAGGCACATACGAAGCGCACAACTTAAAATGCGATACCCGCGGTTGACTTAAGCTAATAATACAACTGCCATTGCATGCAATGTACACGCTCCTTTCGCAGCACATGCTTTCTACGGATGGACGCACCCAGTCTTCATCTTCCGCCCAAAACTCTAATGAGCCCGCGATCACAAATTTGCAAACATTCAACCGAAGGAAACTTACTTGCTCATCTTGGTCCAAAGCTGGTCCAAAGCTGAAGTATTTCGGCTCATCCCGCCACCGTTCTGCCCTTTCACCTTGTACCACCAAGCCAGATGACCGACCCACCACAGGGCCGACACCGTAGGCAGGGTGGCGGGTTGATATCGCAGCGACATGGAGAACGCCGGGTTAGGACGTCACCCAACATCCAACGTGCACTGCTGTGACACGACCAGTGCTCGGGGGCAGCGGGTCTAGGCGCAGTGCCCACAGTGGGGAGCAGCGAGCCTGCCTTGGCGTGCAACGCTAGTCAAACCGGTAGCACTAGCTATCATATAGCAAATGCAGCGTGGCGGTCCACGCGTCGGCACTCACCTCCACGTTTGCAGTCGGGCGATGCGACGGCCAGCCCCGCGCGCCAATTGGCCGGAGGGCGGCGATAACGACCGGACGAGCGACGCTCTGACTGTGACGAGGAGTTGGCTGCTTTCGGCCATCGCGCGGACACGGAGGCTGGCGAGAACTCAACCAGCTGCTGGCAAAGACAAGCGTCCACCACCAACCTAAGTGGGCCATTCCAGATGCTACGCCGGCTGACCGAGTGACACCAGGCAGTGTCGTGCGAGTCTCAGGCTCGGGACGTCAGTAAACGTCACGATTTTGCAGCGTCATGGCCAGCGATGGCGGTGCCTCGTCCCGCTGAAGCATCTTCTTAGCGGTACGCGTGTGGTGTATGAAAATAAAGCACTAGTTTTGAAAGTGATCGGTTTGTCACTGTCCTGGAGTTAGAAGCCAAAATTTAGCGCGACTTGGCTCGCAAGCGCCGCGGAACCCGGCAGCTTCAAGGATGTGACTGAATATTTTTAACCGATGTTGGGAGTCCGTACCGCATGTTTCAACCGCATCGCCGATTGATTCCTATACGGGCCTGAGCGTCTGGGGCCGGTCTCCGTGATGCTTTTCAGACGCCTCGCCAGACACGAGACCACGCGAATCTACGGGGGACGACATGCTCCAACGTTCTACTTGCGAACTCTCCCCGGGCTGCTTCTTCCTTCTAGAATGCAATACTCACCAGCTTGGTATCCACCGCCGCTACGCAAGCTAAGGTGGTTCGAACAGCGGCGGGCGAACGCGTAGGCCGTTCGGCAAGGACAATTCTTGCGAGCAGACCGGGGAAACCAATTTATCCCGTTGCTGGCAGCTAGCAGCTCGACAAAGCGCCAAGAGGCTGGAATTGGCCGCCATCGCCTTTTCCTGTCAACCCAAGCGGCTGCAGGCTTCGGCGTCCTGGAAAATAATTAAGTGTTGAGAGAGGCTGCTCCTTCAGTCCCCTATGCAGCCAATTCCGGAAGTGTTCCGCATGTCTCGAAAACTGTGACAATCTCCCCTGCAGTGAGAATGAACGGTAGTATATCAGGGCTGCCTTATCCAGATGCCACCGCTCACTGACTTCTCCATAGCTCCAGATCCACAAATGTTCTTTCGTCATTTGATTAAGCTCATGCGACTCCAAAACACCTAATATACCATACTTTGCGTGTGCCCACCTTCAACTCCATGGACCCCAGTCACCGTCGAAATAAAAACCATTCCATGGAGTTACCACGCCATGACGACGCTCCGTGCATCCGAATGCAAGGCTTCACTGTCCTGCGTCCACGGATTTGGCCATGCCAGATTTGACTGATGAGAGGGAGCAAACGATCTCCATCACCCGAGTGATCGAGTGTGATTGAACGTGTATTTAGCCGCAAAACAATCATTCCACTGTCCTTTTATTTCACCGTTCGACCAATCCACACCTTGGAAATGTATCTGAACACCGAAATGTTGGGACCAACATTTCAGCCTGGGACTCTCCTCCGCGAACACCGCCTTGCCGCGTCTCTCCACAACCATTTTGCTGAAAACAGCCTCAGCACATCTCCCCTGGCGCGTGCCATCTTGAACACCCTCGGCGCATCTCGCCCACTCATCGTCCCCACATCAGCTGGAACACCTCGGCACATCTCCCCCTCTCCCTCACCGCGCCCCGTATGTCGACACGGCCTCAGCGCCGGTCTCCACCCTTGGGGCATTCGCGGGAAATATGGCCCTCCTCGCCACACGAGTAACAGGCCCGGCCACCGCCGCCTCCGCTCGGGCAATCTCGCGAGATGTGGCCTTCTTCACCACACTTGTAGCAAGTTCTGCTGCCACCGCCACCATATCCACCTCCGTAGCCACTGCCGCCTCCACTGCTGCAATCTCTGGAGATATGACCCACCTCGCCACACCTGTAGCAGGCGCGACTGCCACCACCTCCTCCTCGCGGGCAATCACGGGATATGTGGCCCTCCTCGCCACAGGAGTAGCAAGAACGGTTTCCACCACCTCCGTAACCACCGCCGCCACTGGGACAGTCGCGCGAGATATGGCCTTCCTCGCCACACTTGTAGCAGCTGCGGCCACCGCCGCCTCCTCCTCCACCAGGGTAGTACCGAGACATGATCTGGTTTTCAACCTTGAACAACGTAAATTTTGCACCATCGTCATGTTTATCTCAGCCCTATTTCACCGACACTCACAACATATACCTCACAAATTTATGCATATAAGTTCAATGATAGGTGAAGGAAGGATGCAGACATAACAAACCAAGCCCCTTGCAAACAAGCCATGAGATGGGGAAATAAGACACTAAGATGGGGGATCAACACAAAAATTTACAACCAAGACAAAATATGTGCTGAACATGTGAATTGTAACTTCCACACTACAAAAATTTCCACTTAATTTTTAAACCTGCTGCACATGCCCCCAATGTCACTAGGCAACAACTCCACATACACCATATCCACAGGGCATGATGCAATTAACTGCACTGTATGTCCCTGAAATGTCAAGCTCTCATTCGTAACACACAAAAGCACCTCAATTACTTATACAAAACTGATTTATTGCTGTTGGGTATCAACCACATGAGTTACTTGCACCTACCCAAAAATATCTGAATATATATGCCTTGAAGCTTCTTATTGATACACCTCTTTCAGAACCCCTGGTAGCATGGCACACAAGATAATTATGATCCAGCCATTGCTCTTCAAATCTCCACACCACGACTCGGACTCCATATGTCAGCCGGCACATTAATCATCTAATTTCAGAACCAGGATCAATTCAGGAGCAAATGCCAACCAGATAAGGAGACCACCCCATGTCAGGATACTTCCAGGTGGGCTTATCAGTACCACTTAACATACTGACCTTGTTATCTACAAATCATACAGATACTTCTGTGCCACATCATTCCATACAAAAATTCTCAACATTTCTTTTCCTACTCAAACTTCACAACAGCTAATGAAGATGTTTGAGTTTGAGTTTGAGTTGAGTTTTTTTAGTTGAGTGAGTTTTTGTGTTCACTAATGAGTTTTTTCCAGCAGGTACAATAAATACAAACCATGCAACCGAGGCAGCCTAAGCACATAATATAAAGAGCGGACCATATCCACGCCACCAGGTCCTGCACCCCATGTCTATACAGGACAAGACGTACTCAGAACTTATATCCCAATACTAACCAATTCTTGTATTGTTAATGGCCAACTCTATAACAAGCACTGCATAGCACTATTTGTATATAACACATTTCAACCTATATTAACTAACCAGCTTAAACTTAATTTTTCAAAACAACTTAGATGCTTTAAGAATAATCATGTAGCTATCTTAGGCACCACCGTACAAATACCATGAGTAAAGTTATTTTTAGAAAGAAAAATTAACATGGCCACACAGCTTTAACAAACTTAATGTCTTAATAGCCTGGATATACACATGCTGGCAAACAGCCAGCTGCTTCTTTACACCAACACAGAAAAACGAGAACTTAACATATCATATTTTATCCACACACAAAATCTCCCACATTTTTCATATTGTACTTTAAAAAGGAAACAAGAGCTATGGCACACCTTCCAACCCCTACTATGGGACAGCAGATCTGCCATTGCCTATAACACACTTTTGAAATCCTCCTTGAACCTCAACAAATACATGTGAGCAGAGTGACATGATGAACCCCATGAACAGACTAGAACCAAGATCCAGCATACCAAGGTTATGCCAATCAGGTCATTTAAACATTGTTTCAATGTCCCTTAACAACTTAACCTCCAAAACAGCTAACCCAACAAGACCAGTCACATTTTTGTACCATAAAAATAACACAGATACAGTTCACACATCCAATATGGCACAAACACAGCAATGAGGTGAACTGGTGAATGACAACAGGGCAGGCTGAGCGCCTTCAACGCGAAAAGAACCCGCGCAGGCGGGGAATCCCCAGCCCCGTGAGTAGCATCGGATGCTTCGCCACATTCAGCCCCCATGACTTCACGCATCACAGAGTTCACCATTAAAACCAACCAGATTGCAATGAAAACCCCGAACGCTACTCAGCCAGCACATAAGAAACAAGCCTTTCAACCCAGGTCACAAACTTAGCAAGCCCGTTACGTCCAACAAACCCAACTAATGGCTGCCACGAGCGGAGAAGGTACGGAACTTAAATCTACACGCTGTGATCTGTACACCAATCACCGCCCAATTAGACAACTACGACACTAAACACCAAGTTCGCCATGAGCCACGGCAGCAGCCGGCAATCCACACGCAACTTACAGATATTAACGCGCAGTCCAGCAAGCGCCCCCTCTCCTCTCCAGTTCCTGCAACAGAAGGAAGTACGCAGTTACTGCAGCAGCATTGCCAAAATATTTGAGTTTATTTGTCACGAAAGAACTTGTCTCAAACACTTCACATACAGAACGTTCTACAGCCTAAGAAGGAATCTTTTAATTAAATGCACAGCTGCACAATTGCACAAAGTCGTCACTTAAACTTCTTCACTTTTGCATCTAATTTCTGCCCTAACATCAGATGTTTTTTATATTTTGCAAGGAAGTGCGCAGCTACGATGTGCCGCACCGTCATTTTCCAAATTTTGCGCGATGGTTACGATATGCGCGGCTGAGTTTGGTAAAACATATACGACGAAATTTTCAGGCGATTGGCTGACCGAACGCTCCAATCCCCAGTCGGCCGGTGCGCCGCAGGCCCACAGGCCCGTCCCCCCCCCCCCACAGACGCTGTGGAGAGGGGGGGGGGGAGAGGGCAAGCTCAGGGCGTGCCTCAGAAGCTTTTTCTGGAAACAAGCCCGATGGAGGAGGGGAGGGGCGGAGATTATTTCTCTTTGTGCAAATATCGGGAAGTAAAGCCTTCCAGCTTCCCAGGGTCATCCATTTCGACACTGCCTCTCCTGGGGAGGTGAAATTCTACGAGCGGGTAGGCATACTAGGTCATTGAGGAGGCATCTGCCTTCAAAGGGTAGATGCCAAAATACGGCCTGAAAATGGGCTGGTGAGAGTTTTGAAGTGAATAGATAGTTCGCAGTACGCCAGGTTTTGCATGCGCTTTAATTTCGTTGGCTGCTATTCGAGAGATTAGGCTTGTTGCAGCATATTAGGCGGAAATTAAGTCGAAAGCTTTAAAGTTCTGAAGACGATGAGACAAAGGGCATAAAATTGGAAATTCTTCTGAAAAACCAAGCCTGGTAATGAAGGCCGTTCTGTCGTACATTCCTTATCTAGGCCCTGCTTCCGTCCGTCGTCGGCGGCCACCGCCCTGGCTCGGCTGTCTTCCGCATGACTGAACGCGAGCTGATCCTATTGCCGCTTTTTGCATATTTCTGGACCAGCATTGCTTCGAACTGGGATGTAAAACATATGTTTGACACATGCAACAGTACCCTTCCGAATTATCTTTCCATACACCACAGCAACCCAGAAGGAAGCCTGCGGGAAGCCGCCTGCCTTAGGTATGAATTGGCCGACAAACATTTCATTGTCCATCATTCGACTTGATCTGCTTTTGTGTGCGAGCAGGGCCGTAACTAAAGCCTTCCTAAGAGGCACACACGAGGGTTGAAAGCCACTCTCTGTATGTTAATCCCACCACAAAAATCCCTGGATATAGTTTACTTGTTAACAAAGGGTACGGTTTTCTTCGTGTTATTGTTATTTTTTACTTGTAACTAGAACAGAAGCCAGAGGCTGCTGTGTGATCAGTTCTGTTTGTATTTTTAAGGTCAATAAACTGCAGAAATCAGGCGTTGAACGACCGCGTGAAATAAATCACAGGCGCTCTTAATTTGCGATGACTTGTGGACTCCTTATAAGCCGACACAATTATTCGGAAGCTTTTACAGAACGTTTTTATCTGCGTTCTTCAGGCGTTGAGGAGATTCTATTTGAATTACGATTCAAATACCAAATGGTATGGTACATACCACGGTTCGATCAAACGTTACAGAATCGTCAGGATTAAGCAGCCGACCCTCGTCCGCGCTCCTTCACGTCACCCAGGCGGCCGCCGCCGCCGCCACCGTCAGCGCTGGCAACAACGCATCTCGTGCTGCACAGCTCGTGCGGCTGCTGTACCTCTACGCGTCGGGCACCTCCGCTCCCCGCGGCCGCACAACATCTACCCCCCCCCCCCCCCACCCTGATTCTCATGGATCACAACAGCGCATTACGGATCATTGCAACAATGGCACTGCGGCGCCCTCCGCAGGCGGGTGCTCCGGCGCAGTGGCACCAGCTCGTCCCTGGCCGGCCCAACCGCACGATCTGCCGGCCCAGGCGCGTCTACGGCCGCGCCAGCACCGTCCTCCGCCTCCGGTTGATAATCCACAACTGACACGTACATCGGCGGCCCATCGTCGGCACTGTCACCTGTCCCCGTCGCCGTCTTCGCCCACTCCGCACCGAGGCCGAACGTCTCTCACGTGCCACGGCACTCCGTTGACTTCTACCACCTGCCGCAACACCACACCCGTCATACTTCCGACGCTGGCGCGGATTCCGTCGTCTCCCATCGCGGGGGTCACATTATAAGGGTGGACCGCCTCGGCCACAGCACAACGACGCCTCGCACCGGTGACCTTAACGGTCCGGTGGCGGCGTTCTACCACTCCGTTGCCACCCGGCTCGTGAACAGCTCGGAACCTCATGGCCCTTCCCCAACGCGCCGCGACAGCGGCCGCCTGGTGCCCACGAAACACAGTGTCGTTATCAGCCAAAACATCCTCCGGAGCCCCACGCTTGAGAAACAGCTGTTCTAGGTGACCGACGACCTCGGCGGCACCGGCGCGGCGCAGGGGGCGCCACACGCAGAAGCGGGATGGTCCGCAGTCGATGATGGTGAGGAAGCTCTGTCCGTTGTGGCGCGTGACGTCAATGGCGACGCGCTGCCACGTGGTAGCCACGCCGAGCGAGCCGTGTCGCCTCCGCAGCGGCGCTGGGTCGATCGAGCGGCACGCATCACAGCCCTCCACCACCGCACGTGCTACGGCTCGCGTGACGTCACGCGACACGTCACGGCGTGCGACGTACGGCGTTCGACGGACCCCTGGGTGACCCGCCCGCTCGTACGACTCTCGGACCGACGCACGTTCCCCGCGCCAATGGCGGCATGCGCCGCGTTATCACCGGGCGGCGGCGGCTCGCCCACGGTCGCCGCGCTGACGCCTGGCGACGGCAGCTCGCCCACAGGAGTCGCACTCGCATCACGGAGCCACTCCTTGGGCACACGCGTCAGCGTGTCGGCTCGGTTCTCGGCTGATCGCACGAGCGCCACCGACAACTGCAGCCGCAGCTCAGACCAGCTGACAGACGATTTCGACGCGCCGCCGGATCAGTAGCTCACCGTGCGCCTTGGTTCGGAGGCGCGCGCGACCACTGATGGCGTCACCAAGCCAGCGATGAACGGTAGCCGAGTCGGTGCGGAGGTCGATTGTCCATGCTCCCCAGGCGACGGCCAGGTTGACGCCTCGGATGGCCGCGTCCAGCTCGGCCATGTTGATGTGCGCGGCTTCATCCCATCTCAGCCAGCAAGCGTCCTCGATGACGTCACCGTCCGCCGACCCTACCACGACCCCCATGGCCAGGGAACTCGCGTGCGCTCAGATGACCATGTCTTCACCCTCCACGCATCACGGGCCGGGCCGTCACTGTTCAGGCGTCCTGCGACGTTGTCCATCTGAGCGCGCAGCGTTGCATCCTCGGTGACGGCATCCCACGTCCGCGTCAGTTGGTTCACACGCCGTTTAAACCAGGCCGCTGCAGGCCTAAGCCGTCCGCACACGGGCAGGTGTGCGACCATTTGCCAACACCGCGCAAACACGGCGCGGCGCGTCACAAGAGCCGGCGGCGCGCCCACAGAGTTGTCCCGCACCCATCGCAGTTCTCTGCATTCTGCCTGGACGCGCAGGCCCAGCAGCCGGGCCCCGCTGGTCGCCCGCTCCGGGGGCTTACAGTCTAGCCCAAACTCCGCGAAGTGGGCCACCACACGCCCTGCACTGAGCACAGCTTCATTTACGAGGAGATAATCCATGTATGGAAGGCAGCAAGCTGTACGTCCGGGTCCTGCTCCAGCACGGACCGCACAACGGCCGTCATCACCAGAGGGGCGACGTTCAGGCCGAGACCCAAGCGCGTCAAACAAAACCGCTGGCCCCGAATCATCACAGTCCGGAACAGCGAGAGCCACTCCTCTACATGCACCTGCAGGTACGCACGCTTGAGACGTACGCACGTACGTACGCACGCCACCGCCACGTTCGCACCGTGGCGGCGCCATCTCCAGAGCTGATCAGCACACACGTCAGTGTCGGCTGTGCGGGCCGTCACAAAACCGTTCAGCTCGCCGTAGTCCATCACCGGGCGCAACTTGGACTTGTCGCACTGCTGCACGGTCATCAACGGTACCAGCCCCCTCGCCGTCCCATGGCGACCCTCATCATACGGCACCAGCCAACCCTGTACGACCCACGCGTCCAACTCGGACGTCATATTCGCGACGAGCGGCTGGCGGCACAGCATACTGGGCGACAGTTTTCAGACACTCCGGTCCCACGCCGTCCGACCATTTCCAACCAACGGTCCACCTCCGCCCCGCCGCGTCGAAGCACACACTGAAATCCGGGGCATCCATGCTCGACGGGACGCGACAGCGCGGCCCCACAGAAGCAAACATCAGGCGGGGACAGTACGGCACACCCCCAGCGCCGAGACTGCCTGCCACCCCAGAGGGCCATGTCCACCCCCAGCGGCCGCTTCCCCACCACCACCGTCTCGAGCGAGGCGCGACGTCCCGTCGGCACCTCCACAACCACACTGCCGACCACGCAGCACCTCAGCTCGCTTCCACTGATGGTAGTCACTCGCACCTGCCGCGGCGTCTACCGCGCGCAGAAGGGGGCGTAGATGTTTTCTGCGCTGCCGGTGTCAATCAGGGCGCTGCACTCCCGGCCATACACCCTCATCCGCGTGACGGGCAGCGCACCGCTCAGTGCTGCGCAGGAGAGGGCGGCGGTGCTGACCCGTCCCTCCGGCTCCGTTTCCCGGTCGCTGCTGGCACATCGCCGCGATGTGACCGAGCTCTCCGCAAGGCCAGCAGTGCAGGTGACGCGGGGCGCGTGGCAGTTGACTGTGCGGCGACACACGGCGCTGGCCGGGGGACGGCGCCGCGGCCCGTCGCGGCGCTGCTGCTGCCGAGACCCGTTCATCGCTGAGAACGGCACGAGCACGAGCCAGGACGGTGGTCAGGTCCAATCCTTCAGCCCTGGAGCCGGCGCGGATGGTCTGGTGTCCGGTGTCCGACAACCCCGCGACGAACGCGCAGGCCAGCGCGCGCTCCAGCAGTCCACCGAACAGGACCGCCAGCCGCCGGAAGTCGGCTAGAAACACGTCCGCCGCCTCACCCGGCATCAGTCGTCGAGTGGCGAACATCTCGTAGGCGGCATACTGATCAAGGGCAAACGCGGAGTTTAGTGCGCCCCGCACAGCCTCCAGGGAGCAACGGTCGGTCACCGGCAACTGCGACCAGACGTGGAACGCACCGCCGGCGAGGCGCAGAGGTATGACCGACTCGGCGGCCACCCCCTTCAGCTGGCACAGCATCTGCACGCATCATCCAGCTCACATTACCGGTCCCGTCGTACTCGAGGACGACGCGAGCATCGAATGTTGGTACGGCGGCTGCTACGGTACAGTACGACGGTACAATCAAACGTTACAGAATCGTCAGGACTAAGCAGCCGACCCTCGTCCGCGCTCCTTCACGCCACCCAGGCGGCGGCCGCCGCCGCCGTCAACGCCGACAACAATACATCTCGTGCTGCACAGCTCGTGCGGCTCCCGTGTCTCTACGCGCCGGGCACCTCCGCCCATCGCGGCCGCTCAACACAGGCATCACGGAGGTGGATTGTATGTCGATATGTTTGATTGAAATTTGAAGATGAAGATTTTGATGGTAGATCGAGTGGTCAACAATGTGTTTGAACATGGCAGAGCCATGTTTGTCTGGAAACGTTTAGAATTCAGTCAGGATCGATAAGTGATACAATTTATGCAACGCGGCTTTTAACATGCGCACTCGCAGATGTTAGCAACAAAAATTCAACGCTAGTCGTTGCAGGTTCCATGGGCCACGGTGCGTCGGCCCAGTCGCAAATATTGAACCGTGACCAACAGATGGACGAAAACAATGACGATTCTGAAAAAAAGCACCTCTGAACACTTCAGGACATCAAAGCTTGCATCTACGAGGCAGTCTGGGCGCATATTTCACGTGTGCGATTTTTAGACTGACGATAAGAACGGATTGGCCCTTGAAGTACCGCGAAGTGGTGCTGGAATCTGGTAATGGAATTGAAAGAGTAGAGGTAGAATCTTTTTTCATGTTTCTGTAACTATTAATCTGCCCAGAAGACAGGTTAGCACGGCGCCCGCCGTCTGGTGGCGCTTGAAGTGGCCGACGCCGTCCGGTTATACGGAGGCTGCAACCTAGGGCATCGCTGTCCCTGCTACCGGGGTCGCGGGCGGTCATGTTCAAGCCTTTGATGAATCTTTTCGCTAATCCGTTTTGAAAAAAATGAACATTCTCAGGCAAACGTGAAAGGCCTTGCTCGTTTTTTTTCTTCTTAAATTCATTTCGACCCATTTTATCCAACAATGATGAGACCCCCACTCTACTCAACAATAATTTGAGACTCCTCGTTTCCTTCGGGACAAGGGGCTCCTTGAGTAGAACACCAGGGGCATATTACCGGTTCCGGTCAAGGGCTGAAGGGTAACTCCGTCCCATCGCGAAGGGTCTTCTGGCTGTCATTCTAGCGGCACGGGGCGGGATCTCCTGGTCGATCCGGAGGCCATTGGAAGGATATGTCATATCACAGTGCTCCCCTCCCTGATACGGGAAGCCTTCTGACCCGAGCAGTTGGCCCCTGATCAGCACAGGAAACCCCATTCACGCAAAAACATCCTGATCGCCGCAGGCGGTCCGATAATTGTCACATATACCCCAGTTCTATGTTTTCGGTATTCTTCATAGGTATTGAGGACCTCCTGAATGTAGATTGTGGATGAACTGGGATCATAGATTTATATTAACATGGCCAATCCATGTTGGTCTTAAAATGTTCAGGATTGATTCAAAATTGATTACGGACAAAAACTATGGCATATGGCCTTGAACATACGCGCTCACAAATCATAGCGACAACAGCCTGGACGCCCGGCATTGCAGTCTCCATAGGCCGTGCGGCGCGGCACGTCGGCCTGTCGCTGTGACACGAAACGATGGGCAATAAACAAACGAAAAAAGATAACGCACCTTGAGGAAGATGGCTGGTGAACTAGGTGAATCCGAATATATGTTTCAATGTGATGCAAAAGGAAGCTCTACACAACCTTAATCTGAAAAGCGGCGAGGGGGGGGGCAATAAACGCTGCTGGTTCCCACCTTGAAAAGTGGGGACCATGGCTTCACTGCCCCATCCCCCCCCCCCCCACACCCTGTTCCTACACCCATTGCCTGACTTGACTTAAGTGAAAAAGTACAATTTGAGCGAAATTGGTGAAATAAAGGAACCCGGGCAATCCCTAGATCTGGTAGCACATCCGTGAATATGGAGAGCACAACCAGAAATATCTAGGGCGAAGGTGGTCCCACATTCTATGTTTTTCATTCATAATAATGATATGCTTTGCTTTCATTATGATAAGAAGAAAAATCGCACATTTAGGTAGAATTTCATGCCAACTGGAGATTCCATTAAATCCCGAATATGAACCTGAACATGAGCTAAAGTCTGGTGCCAACTTGACGACCTTTCCAAAGTACACAACTGAGAAGCCTACAAATTAGCGCGATTAGTACATATGTAACGCACAATCAAAACATTGGCATTGAAGGCATTGAACGGCGTTCTACTCACGGTCCTGCTTTATAAGCGCAGCGGTTGTGTGACAGGAGGCGGAGGGAACGGGACTTGGATCGTTAGAAAGGTATGCACATATTTTATATGAAAGGACCACTGTGCTTGTGTTGTAGGGTATAATAAGTTTGTGACCTTATGCAGCTTGGGACGGGCATTTGTTCGAGTGAGTGAAGGGCTATATTACGTAGCTTAACTTAAAGTGAAAGCGTCAGCAATACCTGTAGAACTGAAAGTACCTGCAAGTTAAGAAAACGAAAAATATGGCATTCAATCTGCAAGTGATGTCCCCTCCTTGTACTCCAGCAAAGTGGATTGAGCACTTTGGAGCATAATGCCAACTAAATTAGGTTGATGAAATATGCTTAAAGGGCATTAACCACTTGGAGAGACACAATAAATGGGTTTGTCCCTAGGTTTTCTCACTTTCTTCTCAAATTTCTGGCTGCTGGGGCTCCCCCATCCCAACTGAATAGAAAAGTAGTTACCAGCATGCATCAATTTGTATTATCCTGTATGATAACTTTTAGCTGCTGAATGAAAGTTTCAGGTGGAAATCTAAGTGTCATTAGAGCCAGAAGCATGTCATGTTTAACAGCTCACATCGGTTAGCAGATGAGCGGTAAAAATTATGAAAGTATGAGCTCATATGGTGGGGGTTGACAGGACATGTGGCCATCTTAAGATGTTTGGTCTCTATTTATAAGTGTACTCAAGTTGCAAATCAACTATCAAGCCGGCTGATGTATGTGACAGCTGAGGGTAACATCATGAGGCATAAGTATGATTTCCAGGTGACCACAAACATTAAAAAGCAGATTATCATCCACTTTGCAAAACATGGTAGATTTAGACTGGATTTTACTGGGGTTGTGTTGGCACATAATTGATGTTTGGGGCAGTTATAAATTTTTGGTGTTCAATTCCTCTATTGCAGCAGTTCACAGCAGTTAACAACAACTCATGATATCTTGGGGCAGACATTAAAATCAGAGAGATTAGAGTCAAAAGAGAAAACACCATATTCAGTACTTAACATAAGAGTAATAATTTACAAAGGTGAGGGTAGCCTGAAGACTAGATTTCTTACATTTCCCTCAGCTGTGGCATAGTTATCTGAATTGCTGCCACATTATTCTGTCCAGATTTATGTCCTGCTAATTGTGCAATCCCTGTAGCCAGAGATATGCCCAATAAATTTGAGGGCTTCAACATACAAGTTGCAAGTCGAGCACCAAATTATTTACTCTTACCAGCTTCCACTGCTTGGGGTGAACATGTAAATCAGTTGCAGACAACTGCACATCAAGCAGGCCGGGAGTCAGCGTGATGGCTCAGGAAGTTATTGTTTGTAAAAAAGCCACAATGCTAAATGCTGGATGGTAAATCATGAAAATCTGTACAGCTGGTCATTCATAACCACTCAGTGACAGTGACTGCTCAATGTGTGGCGGCAGGCGGCGCCATGGCCGCCGCCAGGGACCTGCCGCGCTGGCAGTCGTGTGGCCGGCGTCAGCGCTGGCCGCCGCGCTGCTACTTCGCGCTGGCCGCACTGCTGCTGATTGCGCTGGCGCTGCTGGAGCTGGCGCTGCTGCTGCGCGGCCTGCTGCAGCCGGCGGCGCCCAGCGCGCTCCGGCTGGACGCCGAGCTGCTGCAGCACGCGCCGCTGCTGCCGCTGCCGCCCGGCGCCGCGCCAGCGCCCGCCCAGGCCAACTGCACCCACTTCAGCTGCATGAACGTGTACCAGTGCGGCGGCGCGCGCCGCAGCCGCATCGCTGTGTACGTGTACCCGTACGCGCGGTACGCGGACGAGCGCGGCCGGGCACTTGTGCCGCTCTCGCGCGAGTACCTGGACGTGCTGCAGGCGGTGCAGCAGAGCCCGTTCTACACAGACGACCCGCACGAGGCGTGCATCTTCCTGCCGGCGATCGACACGCTGGCGAACCGGATCGACTCCGAACTGACAACGCGCGCGCTCGCCTCGCTGCCCTAGTAAGCAAGCCTTGCTGCCCTAGCAAGCAAGTCTTGCTGCCCTAGTAAGCGAGCCTCGCTACCCTGGCAAGCGATTCACGCTTCCCTAGTTAGTGAGCCTCGCTACCCTAGTAAGCGTTTCTCGCTGCCCCAGTTAGCGAGCCTCGCTGCCCTAGTGAGCGATTATCACTGACCTACCAAACGTTTTTTGCTGCCCTAGTTAGCGAACCTCGCTGCCCTAGTGAGTTGTCCTCGTTGCCCTAGTCAGCGAACCCCGCTGCCCAAGTAAGCGAGCCGGCCCGCTGTGGCGTAGAGACTGGCCACGGCGTGGAGAGGGATTGACAGCGCTTTTAATTTTCCTTGTGCTTCTTGAGAGCTTGGGCTTGCTGATAGTCATTCTCGTTGGACGGGGCTAATATGTTACGATTCAGCATCGACTTGGTTAAAGGGGGCTAGCTGTATTTCGCTTTATAAGTGTCGGTCCGTGTGTTACTGATCAGTGATGGCGATATCTTGACATAAGTCACGCGTAATGCCAGGCATTGATGTTATCGAGCAACCAATGCCCTTCGGCCAGGAGAGGCCTCGACAAAGCACCTGATAATACGCCGTTGCCTGGCGATCCCCTGTCCGGCCCGGGTCCCAGCGTACGCTGCTGTTTGCGTGCTCTCCCACCAGCCAGTGACGCCGCGTTCGTCGCCGCTGTGCAGCTGGCAGGACGGCGAGAACCACCTGGTGTTCAGCGTGTGGCCTGGCACCGGAACGGAGCGGCTGGGCCGCGCCCTGCTGGCCGGCGCCAGCCTCTCCAGCCTGGTGTACCGGCACGGCTTCGATGTGTCGCTGCCGACGGTGCGCGGCGACGACCAGCAGCCGCCGGCGCCGCCCGAGCCGGCCGAGCCGGAGTCGCCCCGGTCAGTGGACAGCACCGGTCGCCCCGCACTGTGCGCCGGGATGGTGGCGCGGTCGGTGTGACCGCTAGTCAATCGGCACTCGTTTGGTGCCGGTCCCGCTCTCCTCTTGTCTGCTGTTGGTGTCTGCCGGCGGCTAGTCTGTTCTAGCTGCTGGCTGTTGGTGTCTGCTGACTGCCAGTCTGTTCTAGCCGCTGGCTGTTGGTATCTGCTGGCTGCCAGTCTGTTCTAGCCGCTGGCTGTTGGTGTCTGCTGACTGCCAGTCTCCTCTAGCCGCTGGCTGTTGGCGTCTTCTGGCTGCCAATCTGTTCTAGCCGCCAGCTGTTGGTGTCTGCCGACGGCTAGTCTGTTCTAGCCGCCGGCTGTTGGTGTCTGCTGGCTGCCAGTCTGTTCTAGCCGCCAGCTGTTGGTGTCTGCCGACGGCTAGTCTGTTTTAGCCGCCAGCTGTTGGTGTCTGCTGACTGTCAGTCTGTTCTAGCCGCTGAGTGTTGGTGTCTGCCGACGGCTAGTCTGTTCTAGACGCTGGCTGTTGGTGTCTGCTGACTGCCAGTCTGTTCTAGCCGCTGTGTGTTGGTGTCTGCTGACTGCCAGTCTGTTCTAGCCGCTGGCTGTTGGTGTCTGCTGACTGCCAGTCTGTTCCAGCCGCTGGCTTTGGTGTCTGCTGACTGCCAGTCTGTTCTAGCCGCTGGCTGTTGGTGTCGGCCCAGCCGGACTTGCACGGCGAGTACGGCCGCACGCTGCGACGGCTGGCGGCGGCCGACGCCAGCGGACGCACGCTGGTGCTGCACCGCTGCGCCGGCGACGGTCACCGCCTCTGCGACGGAGACACCCGGCACGACTACTGGAGCGCGCTGCAGGTGAGGCCGCCGCCGCCGTCGTCGGGACCGCGGCCGGGCGGCGGGTGCTGGGGCTGCGCCGGAGCGGGCTGCCTGCCGCTGTCTGCGGTCGGACGTTTCCCGGAGCGAACGACAGACTATAAATACTGTCAGCTCTGGAGTCACAGACACTGCACTGTGAAGGCTTTCGCACGATCTCCGCCTCACAGCAGGGCGACGCCAACATCTTTGATGTGGTGTAGACGCCCCTGGTCCGATGTCAGCTTCCTTGGTGCGTGGCTGGTACCCTGTACGTGCTGCCTGACGCCCGGGCTCCGCCGCCGGCAGGGGGCCGAGTTCTGCCTGGCGGTGCGCGGCGCCCACCTAGGGCCCGAGGCGCTGGCGGACGCGCTGGCCGCTGGCTGCGTGCCCGTGGTGGCGGCCGACCTGTACGTGATGCCCTTCTCCGAGGTGCTCGACTGGACGCGGATCGGTCTGCACGTGTACGAGGAGGACCTGGCCCGGCTGCCCGACATACTCGCAGGTGCGGTCCGCGACCGACGCGTGGGGCTGCGCGCTGGTGGCCGCTGGGCTCGGAGTGCAGGCGGGAGAGCTGGTTGGCCGCCCATGTGTGCTACTACGAGGTGTGCGGGCGAGTAATCCAGTTACCTCCGACCCAAGTGGGGCCGAAACGATGGTTTTCATGTCACTACCCGCTCAGTTCTTGTCCCCGAGACGCGGCTGATCGCCGTATCGTGCGATCGTCGTCGGCGTTCGCCGTATGACCGCATTCCCGAGGGAAGGGGTCAGGCCGGGTCGTCGGTGGCCGCCACCCGCCGTCGCCGAGCGCCGCCCCGACGCGCCGTCGCTGACCGTCTCCATGCGGCGGCAGAGGTGTCCGAGTCGCGACGGCTCGAGATGCGGCGCCAGGGCGCCTGGGTGTGGCGCCGCTACTTACGCTCGTTCCGCGAGATGGCGCTCACCACACTGCAGATCGTCAACGACCGCGTCATGCCGCACCTGGCGCGCTCCTACGAGGAGTGGAACGACCCGCCACACCTGGTGAGTGCCTGCGGTCCACTCGCGCGAGGAGCGGGAGAACCCGCCACACCCGGTGAGTGCCTGCGGTCCGCTCGTGCGAGGAGCGGGAGAACCCGCCGCATCCGATAGTCATTGAGGCTGTCTTGTAGGTTTATTCCAGACCTTGTAGGGGATGGATTTCTGCGACTAGCGCCCACGCTAAGCAGCGCTTGTTGCGTGGACTCTGGCACCACCTCTCAATTGCAAGTCCCTCACCATTGGAAGCATTTTGTGACGAAAACAAAGCGTGTCGTAATGCTCGCCCTGGCCTGTCCTGTCCTCTGACGTCACGACGTCTCCGGACTTTTAGCGGGACCGCTGCCACTGTCCGCATGGTCATCGCAGGCAGAGGTGAATAGCGAGCGCTTAAAGCGACCCAAACGCATTTCGCCAGAAGCGGTGGGCGGGAAGTAGTGTGCCCTAATCGAGTAAGCTGCCGGTCCCCCTACGAACAGCGAGGCGGCCCGCCGCCAAGCATACAGGCATTGAGACCGCCCGTAGCCAGGACGCGTGGCGTCACTAGCGCGCGTGCTCCGGTAGGTGTCGTTCGGGTACCCGCTGACGGTGCTGTACACGGCCTTGAGATCGCCTGTGGCCAGGAAGTGTGACGTCACTAGTGTGGGATGCGCCCCGGCAGGTGTCACCGGCGTACCCGCTGACGGTGCCGTACGCGGCCTTGAGATCGCCTGTGGCCAGGACGTGTGACGTCACTAGTGTGGGATGCGGCCCGGCAGGTGTCACCGGCGTACCCGCTGACGGTGCCGTACACGGCCTTGAGATCGCCTGCAGCCAGGACGTGTGACGTCACTAGCGTGGGATGTGCCCCGGCAGGTGTCACCGGCGTACCCGCTGACGGTGCTGTACACGGCCTTGAGATCGCCTGCAGCCAGGACGTGTGACGTCACTAGCGTGGGATGCGCCCCGGCAGGTGTCACCGGCGTACCCGCTGACGGTGCCGTACACGGCCCCGCGCAGCCAGGGCTTCACCGCCGTCGTGCTGACGTACGACCGGCTGGACAGCCTGTACCAGATCATTGAGACGGTGGCGCTGGCGCCCTCGCTCTCCAAGGTGCTCGTGGTGTGGAACAACCAGAAGAAGGCGCCGCCCAGCGGTGAGCACCGGCGCAGGCTCTACACGGAGCTCGTAAAGAGTTCTGTGACAATGCGCTTCGCTTGTGGAGGTCCCATGTCCACTGGCCTACATGGGCTTCAGTTTGTGTGCGCTCAGTCACAACATATGCTCGTCATTATTCTCCTGTCAAATGATGTTTGCTGGCTCCTGCGTGGTGTCGTGTTATATACTCCACCGAGCCATCCATACCTCATTGCGTAGCGTCATCTAGTAGCCTTTTCATATCATTTCCACGAATCAGTGCTGCAATTCCTGCGAAAAAGATGACGCCAATTGTAAGTAATGTTAGCTTCTATTAAAGCTATTCTATTAAAATTGTTAGCCTGACCGGCCCCGGTTCGCTGCGAGCCTGGATTGGTGATGCTTTTTGTAGCGTGGCTCAGGCTCCATTTGCTTTTAAACATGCCGCTTTAATTGGCATCCACGCGCTCATTGTAGCCTGTCCACACACACCCTCGCACGCTTCCTGTTTAACGTAAGGTGTGCCGCGCGTTGTCCGCGTCACGTCCCGCGCGCCACGTCCACGTTCACGTGTGGCCGCCGTCCGGGCGTCACGATGTCGTAGTTGTCCCTGAACACGCCGTGCCCGCCTCCGCAGCGTCGCTGTGGCCGACCATCTCGAAGCCGCTGAAGGTGGTGCAGACGGGCGCCAACCTGCTCAGCAACAGGTTCTACCCGTACGACGAGATCGAGACCGAGTGTGTGCTGGCACTGGACGACGACATCACCATGCTGACCGTCGACGAGCTCGAGTTCGGCTACCAGGTCGGTCAGGTGCCGCCCGCGGGCCCTCGGTACGAAACGCGAGCGCGGGGGCGGGGAGGTTTGGGAAGAGCTTCGGCACGAAGGTCGTGGAGGAAGCAACGCCAATCAGTTTTGCTCAGGTTACGCTTACTGCTAATGCAAGGCTGTTGCGTAGAACGCTCTTTTGAGAGAATTTGTCAGCGCTGTTGCTGGGTATTCCTCACCACGCCACGTTTTGATGCATCTTACCCGCACAGATGGGACGCGGGCGTCCAAACTCTCTGCCATACTCGGTGTGTTATGCGATGCCATACGCGTGACGGCGGAGGAGGTCGGAAGCCCAAGTGTGGCCCAACTGGTGTCGGAGTGTGGCCCGACTGATGCCGGAGTGTGGCCCGACTGTTGCCAGAGTGTGGCCCGACTGGTGTCAGAGTGTGGCCCGACTGTTGCCAGAGTGTGGCCTGACTGGTGGCAGAGTGTGGCCCGACTGTTGCCGGAGTGTGGCCCGACTGGTGTCGGAGTGTGGCCCGACTGGTGACGAAGTGTAGCCCGACTGGTGCCGAAGTGTGGCCCGACTGGCGCGGTGCCCGTACTGCTGTGTACGGTGTCCATGCTGCATACTGCCCGACCTGTGCGCGGTACAGTGTCCGCGTCGTCAGGTGTGGCGGGAATACCGTGTCCATGTCGTATACTGCCCGACCTGTGCGCGGTGCGGTGTTCGCGTCGCCAGGTGTGGCGGGAGCACCGTGTCCAAGCCGCATACTGCCCGACCTGTACGCGGTACGGTGTCCGCGTCGCTAGGTGTGGCGAGAATACCCGGACAGGATCGTCGGCTTTCCGTCGCGGAACCACGTGTGGAACAACGTCACGCAGAGCTGGGGCTACGACTCCGAATGGACCAGCGACCTGTCCATGGTGCTCACCGGCGCAGCCTTCTATCACAAGGTCAGCCGGCAGGCCACGCTCGGGTCGGCGTGCTAGCGCAGGGGTGGTTGCGCTGCTCATCCGGACCGCTCACCAGCTTGATCGGTGTCAAGACAGGTTTTGTCCGCCAAGACCGAGGTGGTGTCCGGCAGTACCGGGACAGGGCTCCGCGCTTGGTTACCGCAGGTCGCACGGCAATAGTGTTTTACGTCACTCACCTCTCGCCATGACTGGGGCTGGTCTTGCTGCGCGGTCGGCGTTGATGAGAGTCGGACGGGCCTCACCCTATGTCGGGCCGTGTGGTCTGTCCCTGCTGGCCTGGGGGCTTGACGCGAACGAGCCGACCGCCATTAGTACACTATAGATCGCTGCAGGTATTAATCGGTCCTGGCCGATTTGGTGAGCTTAGTTTTGCCTCCGATAAGCTGACATCACAGGACCCGGGTGTGTCTCCCTGTTGGTTGTGTTTCTTTCCAGCTCTCCCGTATTTATGACGTTTTCTTCGCTGGATTGTGGGAAGCATCGATATGCGACGACGCGTTGTCTGTTACAGTACTGGAATTATCGGTACACAAACTCCCTCCCTGGCAACATCAAACAGTGGGTGGATGACAACATGAACTGTGAGGATATCGCGATGAACTTCTTGGTCAGCAATGTCACGGGCAAGGCCCCCATCAAGGTAACGACTGCGTGCAATAACGGCGTCCCACCCGAATGAAATTTGATATGGACGCACTAGATAACAAACTCTTGCGACATGAGCGCCCGAAACATTTAAGCGTGCCCGTGGTCCTCCCACGACACACGTATCGTACAGTTCCATTTCTGAGAAGTCGCAATATACAGGGCGGGCGAACCAACGCATCTGCCCAGAGTAGTCCAAGTTGATGTCTGCGCATGCCTTTGTGGACAGGCATGATGCGGGGTGGTTTAAAGGTGGCGTCCGGTGCTGATCATTTCCGTGTGTCACCGCCATGGTTCTTCTGGTCCCTGCGTTCCCACTGGTCCTCTTCGCGGACCTGCGCTCCGCCATGCGGCGCCCTGACCCGATCCGACCCGATCTGACCTGACCTGACCTGACCTGACCTGGCCTGACTTGACTATCTGACCTGACATGACCCGGCATGACCTGGTCTGACCTGAACTGACGTGACGGGATCTGATCTGACCTGGCCTGACCTGGTCTGGCCTGACCTGACCTGACCTGACCTGACCTGGCCCGACCGGGCGCCGGCAGGTGGCGGCGCGGAAGAAGTTCAAGTGCACGTCCGCCGACTGCAGCGGTGGCGACCTGTCGGCGAACGTGGACCACTTCATCGAGCGGTCCGACTGCATCCAGCACTTCGTGGGCGCGTTCGGCGCCATGCCGCTGCGCAGGGTGCAGTTCCGCGCCGACCCCGTCCTCTACCGGGACGACTTCCCGGCCAAGCTCAAGCGCTACAACGACGTGGGCAGTCTGTGAGGCGGCCGGACGCCGCCGCCGCCGCGGCTGGAGGGGTCGGAGCGGGTCAGGGGGCCGCCCTCCGCGGCGGTCAGGCTTTCAGGCACCGATGGCAGCGGGTTGTGATTTCGTTTTTACAAGGAGACCACGTTGGGAGCTGTACCAGGAGATCTGTTTCCGGTCGCCCGGTGGACGAAGCGGGAGGTTTGGTCTTGTCCCTGGAATTTGAGAACTGCCGCGAGGGAGGCTGAGAGCTTTTCTGAGCTGGACTGTGCAGGCGTTATAATGTGATGTCTGGACTCCTGATCATGATCAGCGGCCGCCGTTTTAGGCTAAATGTGACGCATTGTGTAGGGAAGAATACGAGCTTACTGTGGTTACAACAGGCCAACTGTGAAGATTATTAATGATACTTAATCCGTGTTCTACGCGTCGTTTATCGTCGTTTATCGTCATCATGTGCCATGTATTTGTCAGCGAAGTGTTACAAGATGTTGTGCTATGAAACATTTTAATACAATATCATAATTATTGTGCGTCTTCGCGCGGTAGTACATTGGTTGCAGATTGTTATTTATTGCCCATTTATTAGAACTACTTAACTGATGTGTATAGCCCGATGCAGAATGTCTTTCGTGTGAACATGTCGGGCTTATTCAGCAGTACCGGATAGTACCGAAAGTTATCTGTGAAACCGTTCTGCTTGCCTCTGCTTTTTACACTTGCTGCCATCTAGTGTCAGTAGATGCATCAACACTTCCACCGTCACCGCCAGGTCCTTGACCGATGCAAGACGTCAGCAAGACAAGTGCTTGATGCAGGGTTCTAGCAGTGGCTTCGGAACTGAATGGGATTTACTGCCCCCTCGCTGCTCAGCAAGGCTTGAACAACTTGGCATTAGTCGTATTGCTTCAGATGTTGAAACGATATTCGGAAACTGTTTCTTTAGGGATACTTTTGAGCTTCCTGCTTATTAGCTTTCGATGTTAGTTCCAAGACTCAGCGGACCAGTTCAAGATATACGGGATGTATCAGCAGCGCGCACTTTGAGGCGCATGACATCTCAAAAAGTGTGGGCCAGCAAAATCTATGACATGATGTAGGAGCAAAACAGCGTCACTTGGGGTGTGTCATTGGTTCTCGCTCTGATCCGACATGTCCGATACAAACTTCAACAGCATTAGCTAAAATTCCATCGATCAAATGAGACCAGAAATATCAATGACACGATGTCAATGATAAATGATGCGACAATTCTTCATCCCACCAAACGAAACCTGCTGATATTTGCAATGAAAGGAAGCGATGCATGATGAAAAATGGCAGAGAAGACCTCGATGAACTTGGTGTTATTAGCAACACATCATAAAGCATGCTGAAAAACCAGTGCCAGAGCACCGCAAGAACTATACTGGCCACAGCAGTATAACATCCGATGGTGATATTTGTAAAAACACTTCATTTTCTTTGAAAAGCGAAAAATAGAGTTGACATACATTTGTTGGACTCAAACGCTACGTTCTGAGCCCCAGCTTACATCCCGTTCTAAAATAAAGAAGTAAAACGCGGTTTTTGAAAGATGGAGTTTTCACCTGTGCCCAAATGTGATGGAGTGATGCGGCATGTGGAGAGGAGTTCGTTTTTCCAATGCCGCTGTCAGTATATGGTCACGCATCGCATGTGTGGGCCAGATTTGCCTGCTTTACCAACAGGATGGATTCGCGGGTAAACCATATTTGTAGGCATGCGTCTGCTACTTTTTGCAACGCAGTACACTTTCGTCGAAATTTAGGAGCGCAATATAGGCATCACGCTGATTGTAGCTGGGACGACGAGGAGAAAAACTTTACGATTGTAGGGATGGATAATGATAAATCCTAAAAGTGTGCTCGTTGCAATTGCATTGTTGATAACTATGACGTCGGCATTGTTCAGTAATGCAATGTAATATGCCATCTTAAACAGCCATAAAGACAAAACACTAACATGGTGAACCATGCGAAATATATGAAATGCCAGCGGCCATTTAAATGTGTTTTGAAGGACGAAATGCTGTCTTTTACTCCTGACGTTCTGCTGTCGCCATTTCGCACCAGTGCACCAGGAATGACGACGACCACAATCCCGATCTCACATGTGATCGGAACCACAACTCGGTCAGCAAACTAAGACTACGTAGTATAGGGATTCTTGTGGTATTCGGTCGGTGTAACCCGTTGGTCACTGTCTGCTTCAAAGTCTAAATATGTTATGTCTTTCCGTGTAAAAGAACCCAGCGAAACAATGGCAAAAAGTAGCGAAAAGTATCGAAAGTATCGTGTCTACCAAAAAGTATCAAAAGCATCGTATCTACCAAAAGTATCGTATTTGTCGTAACCTGAACTTTAGTAGCCTGCTGACGACGCCGACGACGACGAGGAAGCAAATGTAAACAGCGCAGAAGTGCGGAGTGAAGTACGAGTTGTCATCATTGCTAGCATGTGGTAGTGGCGTAATCTTCCACTTTGTTCAATTCAAGGCAAAACTTTATTGACATTGCAACTTAAAGAGCGAAAGGTGGCAGAACAAGGTGCCATGGTATCCACAAAGTGTACCTCAGTCTTCCACGCATTTACTTCAACAATAATGTTCGATGGGCCAATACGTAATCTCTCGGACATGACGTAGCGAAGGGTATGATTACGATTAAACGCCTGTTCTTAAGTCGACAAGCAATAGGATCATTCAGACATTTGGTAACCGGCATTTCATTCGTTTCGGCCCATTCTGGCTCGTTTTAACTGATGCGTTGTGATGACGTTCCGGTCCAATCCACACTGCGCGTCTAAGAAACCAGAAATACGGGGTTCGAGTTCCGGCGGAGCCCCCCCCCCCCCCCCGTCTGGGCAAAAAGGAAGCCACGCAGTGTGAATTAAGATATAGCTTCAGCAGCTGAGTGCGTCGTAGAGCCCCAATGACGACGACGGTCCAACTCATAATCCTTGGTCTAGTCTAATCCGCCAGGTAATGCCCATAGTTTGAAGCTTGGTCACTTGTCCATTATTTGGGTACAGCATTGGAGAAGTCCCTCCCACGTAGCTCAATCAGTTAATAGGCCTTCCTCCCGACCAAGCTGTGGCGGGGAGGGTGGGTTCGAGTCGCTTCGACGCCCGATACTTGCCCCTGCTCGGAATGGCCAGCCGCCGCTCAAGGTCAGGTGAGGTCAGAGGGCGAAATTGGCCGCACCGAGCAATGCCGCACGCTAATATTTCGCTACCAAATTCTGCCGTTGAAGTTGAATTCTACCATTGGATGGTGCGGCCTGGGTTTGCACACACAAAAAAAAACACCGCTTATCGTGAACTCTGATCCCAGAAATCCATCAAAATATTTTGGCTAGATTTATAAGAAATTAAGAAAAAAGCACAACAGTCAAACAAAATTGTGATCATGTGACGGCGAATGTGACTCGAAATGTACTATCACATTCTGTACGTTGTTTTGGCGTTTTTATCGATCGGATACGGCTGTCTAACCACCAGAGAGTTCGGTATGACTGAACGTAAAAACAGCACTGAAAATGCACTGCATCTCAATGACTAATGAGAGCAAGGAGTTCGTCTCAAAAAAGTAGTGAAATCGGACTTCTTTGGTTTCCATATTTCCTTATCACGTTTTGACGACTTCTCGCTGTGTGTTTTCAATTTCTTAATGCACGAATTTTACTACCCACTAGGTAGGCAGGGAAATATTTTCCCCAATCAGTCGAAAATGGGAATTTGTCCCGTCATGTTTGCCCTAAAATGCACATCTGGAAAGCCGTGATGCCATTTTTGGCAGATTGTCTCCGAAAATTCCAGTCTGACCTACAAATTCTTATTTTTATCATCAAATCTCACAGAAGAGGCAACACCAATTGCGTAATGTACCAATGAAAGATACAGATCGATTTCAGCCTGTAGCATTGACCTCGACACCAGTTAATGTTGAGGGGGGAGGGGGGGAGGGCATCGATATTTTCAGGGTGTTTATTTGCACGCAACAGCACAGGCGCACTGTCACGTTCTCGAGAATCCAAATGTGACGTTTTGTTCATTTTTGTGTGAAATCAGCGCTTCTCGGTGGAGGATAGAGATAAAAGAACTCAAGATGCGCTACGATTTTCGAAAATGACCACGCACTCCCTGTGTTTCTCTTTTCTATCGAGTCTGAATAGCCAAGTGTGTGTTTTCACTTGACATGTAACATACAACATGCGTTGGCGATTTAAATTTTGATTGATTATTTTGTTTTGCCGCAGTTGTGTAGACGATTGGATGGTTAGTAACGTGCGAATGTGGTCGTTTTATTATTATGTTCGATATTGTACTCATACAACTATTGTAATTACATGGAATCAAACAATAGGCCACTTGATGGAAAAGTTCGTGAACACAATGAACAGAACTAGACATTATGTAAAATATCATGTGGCGAGGAGAGAGCGACACATCCGGCCTCCCAGATTTATGACATTATTTGCTCATTATCATTTTATTCTTTTAGAACATCAAGTACTTCTTACACTAGCTACAGTTTTCCTCAAAAGTGTTCATCAGTGTATATTATAAGTATAGCACCACCCGACTGCGGCCTTGGTTTGGGGTGGCCGCGGGCGAAGTTCCATGCCGGCCGCTCTCCCGCGCCCCCACGAAGACTGCAACGCCTGACCCGCCAATGCTGTTCACAGGGGCGTCGTTCCGCAAAATGAGTTTTTTTGGGGGGACTGAGTAGTAAAAAATGACCTTATCTACCCCAAAAATATTCCAACAAATAGGTTTCTACTCAGACTGGGCCGACTGTCTCCCCAAAACTGGGAGGAAAGAGGGTTAGTTGGTCCAGCTCTTCCAAGAAAGTGGGAAACCCAAGTTAGGGGGCTGAGGTCACCAAATGTTTAGAAAATTACATTTCTACCTGTTCAGGAAGAACCATGTAGGACTTCCTGTACCCCTAAATGGTGTATTAGCACATGATTTTTTGTTACATACGTATGAAGTTGCGGT